TTCTGCATTCATTGCTGTATAATTTTACACTTTTCATTTCACTATATTGCACACGACACTTTTTTTTTTTTTCTTTTTTACTTCCACCGCTCCAAGCTTGCTCCTGTGGTGGACTACAATCTCAATACAAACTAGTAGTCCATCACTGGAGCCATTTTTAAAATGTATTTTATTTTTAAATGTTTTATCCGATTAACCGATTAATCGAACGTAAAAATCGGCTAACTAATCGATTTTGAAAATAATCGTTAGCTGCAGCTCTAGCACATACTGCTACAGTGATTTTCCGCATCCCCAGCATCCCTCCGGATGTCAGATATGGATACTTACAGTGGGCCTCGCATAGTATTAAATACCTGGGGATTTTCCTGACTCCATCTCTGGATGGAATCTTCTCAGCCAATTTCCCCCCGTTCCTTACTCAGATGAAACTCGACCTGCAACTTTGGACAACTAACACTTTTATGTTGTTCGGTCGGAATAGCATTCTCAAAATGAATGTCCTAATCCATCTACTCTACTTCCTCCAGACGTTACTAGTGCACATCCCGACCTGTTTTTTAAAAAAGGTGAGAGGGGAGTTTAGCAGGTTTCTGTGGGCACAAAAATGTCACCGTCTCAGCCAAGTGCTTATGACCCACCCTAAACATAGAGGGGACAGGGGCATGGTTTCCGCCACTTAATTCCGGAGTTCCTGTCCACCTGCACCCAAAATCAGCTTCTGCAGCATCCCAGAGGACGACATGGGGAAGATTGGCCCGCAATACCCTCTGGCAAAAGCACCCTCATCGAAGGGGAACCCGCAAAATAAACAGGTACCGGACATATTCCGCTCCCAACGCCACAAGGCCTCTGAGACGCCACCTCCCAATATGGCGGAGACTGACTCCTGCAGGACTCAGGCCATACTACCGTGTTTCCCCGAAAATAAGACCTACCCCGAAAATAAGACCTAGTTCGGCTTTTGCCTCGGCTTTTACGGTACATAGAAAGCTGCCGCTGAAAACTACATTTCCCAGCAGGCAGCGGCATGGCCAGTGGGGTCGTAGTGAGGTCAGGGGAGGTGAGGGAACTTCTGACTGGTCCGTGCGACGAGGTGGCTCCCTGGATGGCATCAGAGAGGAGAGCTCCAGGACAGCTGCAGCCTTCAGGTACTGTATGGTACAGTACATTCCATATCTCTGATCTGTGTGACACCTGTGTGCCTCAGCCTCCACAGCATATGTTATCTCTATTATTTAAATTATGGTAGAAAAAAAAGTATGTGGAGGGGATGCTCAATGGAGAAAAAAAAATAAGACATCCCCCGAAAATAAGACCTAGTGGGTTTTTTGGGGGGAAAAAAATATAAGACAGGAGGGCGTGGCTTGGCACTGAAGAAGATGGACGCTTAACTCCAGAGCTCCGTCTCCAGATATCCCGAACTAAGCGACAATCTCCTGCTTTCGACTACCATGGGGAAAATAGGCAGACAGGACGGAAGGTCCAGATCCCCTGGGTCGGATGGGACCCAACTGAGCCGTCAATTCCCCGAGATGTTCCGCACACAGCGGCCGGAAAATCTGACCGCGAGGTCTTCCAATATGGCGCTGACCGCGACTAACCCGCCTGCTACTGCGCCTCAGGCCTCCATGGATCCGGGCTCGATGTCGTCCTACATCCAACAACTACCTACCAGGTCAGATTTAACACTCCTCGCAGGGGACATCAAACAGGCCCTGAGCTAGGCGGTCTCCGAACTCAGACAGGACATTAGGGATATAGGCCGCAGGATGCAGGCGGCGGAACAGGCCGGAGCGGAGAGAGATGCCGCCATCCACTCTCTGAGGGCCCATCAAGAGACCACCACCCGCTCGATGATTGACATGCGCCGCCACATGGAAGACCTCGATAATAGGGGCCCGGGCCAAAGCAGTGGTCAAGTATGACGGCTCCGAGGTAAAGCTGTTCCAAGACCTGTCCAACATCACCCTGCGCAAACAGGGCATTGCATACCGCTGGAAGTTCCCATTCTGCCTGTCCGCACTGCATCGAGGCAGACCCGTTACCTTACGCCTACCTGAAGAAGCGGGAGACTTCTGTTCGCAACTGAATATCCCGCTCGTCCAAGTCCAAGATTGGTATGAAGACCTCAGGATACACGCTGCCGACGACAGGCCCAGCCGCAGACGAGAGCGGTCGCCATTGGAACCAGACCCCACCAGAAGCCCCGGGACCATCGAGAAAGAACGCCGTCGGAGAGGTCCCAATACCCCATCATACCGTACCGATTGCCGGATGGACGACGTGGCGGACTGTGACCGGGATGGCGAACATCCCCCCCGCTGAATTTACACAGAGACGCACTCATCCCTAGACACAGCACCAAGTGGCCCGAGACTGTTTTCCCAGGATTATCCCTGTTAACTTAGTTGGATGTTGGGATCCTTGCCTCGGACGGTTGCGGTGCTGGAACCTCACTCCAGTGGGCCTCGCAGTGATGTACACATAGATAACTAAAAAAGTTGGAGTCACTTGGCTATCATTCCTCTATTTCTAATTTCTACGTGTCTTGCCGTTACAGGATCCTCAATGGCGGGCAGGGACCTAAGCCGGCCTCTGGGACGGAGACACCTCGGAGCGGAGGAGACGGAGGACGGTGGTTTGGGGACCTGTCGGCCAGGGGGGATCCAGCCAGTACGGTAACACACATCTACCTCTGCTGATGCAGGCGTTTAGACCTCCACGTTCCATACTCCAGTTAATGTGAGCGCAGTTCTATGGACCCTCACAGGTGGATATAAACACCACAGGAGTTTAAACTGTTTATATATTGGTTTATATTG